AAGCAACACAACACATCTACAACCATCCAATCTTTGACAAACCTGACAAAAACAAGCAATGGGGAAAGGATTCCCTGTTTAATAAATAGTGTTGGGAAAACTGGCTAGCCATGTGAAGAAAGCAGAGACTGGACCCCTTCCTGACACCTTACACTAAAATGAACTCCAGATGGATTAAAGACTTAAACATTAAGACCTAACACCATAAAAATCCTAGAAGAAAATTTAGGCAAAACCATTCAGGACATAGGTGTAGGCAAGGACTTCATGACCAAAACACCAAAAGCATTGGCAACAAAAGCCAAAATAGACAAATGGGACTTAATCAAACTCCACAGCTTCCGCACAGCAAAAGAAACAGTCATTAGAGTGAATCGGCAACCAACAGAATGGGAAAAAATTTTTGTAGTCTGCCCATCTGACAAAGGGCTGATATCCAGAATCTACAAAGAACTAAAACAGATTTACAAGAAAAAAACAAACAAGCCCATTCAAAAGTGGGTGAAGGATATGAACAGACACTTGACAAAAGAAGACATACATGAGGCCAACAAACATGAAAAAATGCTCATCATCACTGGTCATTAGAGAAATGCAAATCAAAACTACACTGAGATACCATCTCATGCCACTTAGAATGGCGATCATTAAAAAATCTGGAGACAACAGATGCTGGAGAGGATGTGGAGAAATAGGAACACTTTTACACTGTTGGTGGGAGTGTAAATTAGTTCAACCATTGTGGAAGACAGTGTGGTGATTCCTCAAGGACCTAAAATAGAAATTCCATTTGACCCAGCAATCCCATTACCGGGTATATATCCAAAGGATTATAAATCGTTCCACTATAAGGACACACGCACATGAATGTTCATTGCAGGGAGCTGGGGAGAGAGAGCATGGGGAGGAATGCCAGATATAGGTGATGGGAAGGAAGGCAGCAAATCACACTTGCCATGTGTGTACCTATGCAACAATCTTGCATGTTATTCACATGTACCCCAAAACCTAAAATGCAATAAAAAATAAAATAAAAACAAAAAAAACTAGGCTTTTTAGAAAATACAGCCACAAGGCTATTATCAGACTTTTAAAAATCAATACTAATTCTTTACTATTATCAAATATCTATTTAGTAATCATATTTCCACATATGGAGAATTTTTTTGAGGTAAAACTCACATACAATGAAATGTATAACTCCTGAATGTGCAGTTTTTGTTTTGAGATGGAGTCTAATTCTGCCGCCTACACTGGAGTAACAGTGGTGCCATCTTGACTCACTGCAACCTCTGCCTCCCAGGTTTAAGTGATTCTCCTGTCTCAGCCTGCTGAGTAGCCAGGATTATAGGCATGTGCCACTATGCTTGGCTAATGTTTTTGTATTTTTAGTAGAATGGGGTTTCACCGTATTGGCCAGGCTGGGGTCTTGAACTCCTGTCCTGTAGTGATCCGCCCACCTCAGCCTCCCAAAGTGCTGGAATTACAGGCATGAGCCACTGTACCAGCCCAGAATGTACAGTGCTGGTTGTTAACAGATATACACACACTTGTAACATATATTCTTATGAAGATGTAGAACCTTTCTATCACTCCCAAAAATCTCCCTGTACCTCGTTCATCCCCACATCAGAAGCAACCATTTTTCAAATTTTTTTGAACTATTAAAAATTAAAACTAACTGCATACAATAATAACAACTTGGGGGTTAAGACCAAGTTTGACCTAAAATACAAATAATTAACATGTAAATTAGGAGACAAAGTGGCCAGAGTTTTAAAGTTCTTCTGTTGTTTAGGTAGAGAGTGGAGATATTGATTTTAGATTTTGTTAATAATGAATATTAAAATGTTAAGGATTCAAGTTTGCATAGCAGCACTCAGAAAATATGAGTGATTTAAAAATACATTTGCCCTTATATCCTTACTGAGATACCCACTAAAAACTGAAAGAATTACAATGAAAAAATTTTTAAATGTTAAGGGTAATCTCTAAATGAATAGAAACAAATTATATAACTTAAATATGGATATAAAAACTTTATGAATTCTGAAGGCAGGAAAAGAGAAAAAATTAAGCAGAGAGCTCAAGACAACAGTAATTACTAAAAAAGCTGGTAATTACAAGAAAATTAAATGCACCAAACTTACCATTCAAAAGACATATATTTTCAGTTGGGATTAAAAACAATGAAACCCATGTATAAGCTGTTTATAAGAGATACAAAACAAAGATACACAGAGAAGTTGAAAGTACAAATAGCTAAATGTGAACTAGGTAAGCAGTTACCAGAAGTCACTGATTCTTGTACAGCTATATTAATATCAGATAAAATACATTTTTAGGCAAAAAGGATTATAGGGGAAGGAGGTTTGGTCACTATGTAATAATAAAATGTACAATTCACTGAGAAGATATAATTGCTTTAAGTTTGTATACCTCGAATAACATAGCCTCTAAGTACCTAAAGGAAAATGAGGGCAAATTAAGATGAATTTTATAATGTCGTCTCTGAGGATGAAGATAAAAACTGTGAACGTGTTGTGTAACTAAACAGACTATCTATTGTTTTATCTTCCCAGATGTCCTTCTTTTCTGATAACTTTTCCCAGGAATTTATATCAGAAATAAGGTATAACTAATAAATCCTCTAAAATGTGAAAAAAAAAATTAAAGTTCCTTTCTGGAGATACATCTATTGCCAGTGAGAAAAGTAGTTCATTCTCTTTTATTGCCAGATAATATCCCATTGTATGAGTATACGGCAATTTGTTTATCTGCTGTACTACTGATAGACATTTGGGTTGATTCCAATTTTTTCAGCCATTACAAGTAAAGCTGCTATAAACATTCTTTTTTTATTGAGACCGAGTCTCGCTCTTGTCACCTAGGCTGGACTGCAGTGGTGGGATCTCGGCTCACTGAAACTTTCACCTCCTGGGTTCAAGCGATTCTCCTGCCTCAGGCTCCTGAGTAGCTGGGACTACAGGTGCGCACCACCACATCCAGCTAATTCTTGTATTTTTAGTAGAGACAGGGTTTCACCACGTTAGCCAAGATGATCTCGATCTCTTGACCTCGTGATCTGCCCACCTCGGCCTCCCAAAGTGCTGGAATTACAGGCATGCACCACTGTGTCCAGCCTAATTTTTGTACTTTTAAAAGGGACGGGGTTTCGCCATGTTGGCCAGGCTGGTCTTGAACTCCTGACCTCAGGTAATCTGCCCACCTCAGCCTCCTAAAGTGCTGGGATTACAGGCATGAGTCACTGCACCCGGCCAACATTCTTATAGATCTTTTGGGACCATTCATTCCCATTTCCCTTGGGTAAATACTTAGAAGTGGAATTGCTGGGTTACAGGATAAGCATATGTTTATAAGAGACTACCAAATGTTTTCCAGAGTGGTTGTACCATTTTATTAACACACTCCACCAGCAATGTCTGGGAGATATGCCTGCTACACATCTTCACCAACATTTGGCTTTCAAGGTTTTTACTTGTAGCCATTATAGCGGATATGCAGAGACGTTTTGTGGCATTAATATACATTTCCTGATAATTAATAGTATTGGCACTTTTTCAGGTGTCCACTGGCTACCATTCATGTATCTTTATTTGTGAAGTACCTGTTCAAATTTTTATCCTTGCAGGGAAAAAACTGGGTTCTCATTTTATTACTGAATCATGGAAGTTTGTCCTGGATACCAGTCCCTTGTCAGAATGCTTTGTGAATATTTTCTCCTAATCTACACCTATTTATTTCCTTAAGGATATCTTTCAATGAGCAGAAGTTTTAAATTTTGATGAAGTTTAATTTGGCAATCTTCTTATTTTATGATACTGTTTCTGTGTCCTATTTAAGAAATGTTTGCCTATCGGATCTAAAAGATATTCTCCTAGGTTTTCTCCTAGAATCTTCATAGTTTTACATTTGGGCTATGATACATTTCAAACTTGTATACAATGTGTGAAGTAGGAGTCAAGGTACTTTTTCTCTCCATATGGATCTAATTTTTCCAACATTATTTGTTTTAAAAAGTTTCACTTCTTCACTCAATTACTTTGATGCCTTTGTCAAAAGTCACGGGCCATGTGAATGTTGCTCTGTTGTTAGATCCTCTATTCTGTTCCACTGACTTGTCAATTCTTATGCCAGTACCTCATTATTCTAATTTCTATAGCTTTACAATGTCTTAAAGTTCTCCAAATTTCTTGTTTCAAGATTGCGTTGAATATTCCAGGTTCTTTGCATGTCCATATAAATTTTAGAATTTATTCAGTTTGTCAATTATATAGAAAAGTCTATTGATTTTATGATTGGGATTGCATTAAATCTATAAATCAATTTAAGGAGATTTGACAGATTATCACTATGACATCCAATCTATCAATGTGGTATTATATCTCTCCATATTTTTAGGTCTTCTCTAATTTCTCTCAGCAACATTTTATGGTTTTCAGCGTAAAGGTCTTGTATGTCCTTTGCTAGATTTATCTCTAAGTATTTAATATTTTGTGATACAACTGTATATGGAATTTATTAAAATTTACTTCTCCATTTATCTGCTGATAGTAGAGATGCAATTAATTTCTTCATATTAACCTTCTATACTTACTTTGTTAAACCAACTTTACACTCCTGAAATCTTAATTATGATGTATATTGTTTTTATATATATCATATATGTATTTTTATATAATTCAATCTGATTATATTTTAAGGAGATTTACATCTGTATTCATGAGGAATAACTGGTCTATAGGGTTTTTTTCCTCTTGTAATGACTTTGTAAAATTTTGGGATCAGGATTATACTGGCCTCATTAGAGCAATAGAAAACATTTCATTCTCTATTTCTGAAAGTCTGTGTATTCAGTATTGTTTCTTCCCTAAATGCTTGATAGAATACTCTTGATACTATTCATTTTTGTCAATCTTTTTTGTCTGTGGCTTTAGTATGAATGTTTTCTATTGTTACATATTCAGGTTCACTGACTTTTCCATGAAGTGTCTAATCAGCTGTTAATTCTATACAGTGAAATTTTCACATCAGATATATATTTTTAGACCTAAAAGTTTCATTCGGTTTATTTTTCATACTTTTGATTTCTCTTCTCACTATGCTCAGATTCTCCTTTCATTACATAACTGTCCTTGTCTGCTAATTCTATCATCTGTTAAGTCTGCTTCTGACTGATTTTTCTGCTGGTTATGAGTCAAATTTTCCTGCTTCTTATACTGGCTATTAGTCTTTTTACTGGATGCTAAACACTGTGAATGTCATACTGAGTGTTTGGATTTTGCTGTCTTTATTAAAGAATGTGAAGCTTTGTTCTGGCAAGTGATTAAATTATTTGAAGATCAGCTTGATCCTTTAGAACTTTTAGGAAGATTTGTTAGGGAGGGTTCTAGAACAGCCGTTATGTTAAGAATAATTTAGCTCTACTCCTAAGGTGAGACTTCTATTGGCCTTGATAATCAATGAGAACTCTCTTATCTCAGCTGGTCAGAACTTGAATGTATCCTAGCATTGTGTGAATGCTGGGAATTAGTCAGTTACTGCTCCCTGCTGGTTCTCTGCCCAGACTCATGCTCACATCTTACACACGTGTAACTCAACATTCAGCAAACATTCAATTCAAGGAAATCCCTATGTAGGCTTCTATAGCTTTTTGTCTTTGTAGCGCCTTCCTCTGTGGAATTCTGGTTGTAGCCACCTCAGACTCCCTGAACACTGATTTCTGTCTTCTCAACTCAATGAGACTGTTATTTCCCATCCTGCTCCATTATCCCAAATATGCCTTCAAGAAAAAGCCAGACAAATTACAGAGTTCAAATAATTTGTTTCCTATCTCTCAGGGATCATTGTCTTATGCTGCTATTGTCCAATATACTGCCTAGTTTTTTAATTGTTTGAGGCAAAAGACTAAAATTCAATCCCTGTTAGTCTGTCAAGGGTGAAAGCAGAAGTTCTAAACATAATATTTTGCAATTTGATTTTTTACTCAATTTATCATGGTTATTATTCCAGGTCAGTACACAGATATCTACTACATTCTTTTAAAAGCCTGAATAGCATAAAGGATGAACACTTAAATATTGTCTTCAATGTTTGAAATAGAAACTAATATTGAAACTAATAACATCATACATATCTCCTTGCCATATGTATAAATATTTCTGCATTTCAATTTTCCTCCATAAGCTTACAAGAAAATAGAGATTATAAGTCATATATCTCTCTCTACCCCCCTCCTTCCACCACATGCCACAGCTGAATGGTAAAATTTTACAGAGATGGTATTTATTAAGTATATATCGAGTATAAAAATTAAGTTAAAGGTAAATACTTAGTACTAACGGCAAATGCTTGTCTTCTTTCCTTACTTTTATGAAGGGTTTTAATCAATTTGATTTGACAGTGAGTGAGACAAGTTCTCAGCCATAATTTTTAATTAATATTGCTCTCCTTGCTCCTTATCTTCATATTATTTTTAACCTTGTCTTAAATATTTGTATTTTACTTGTGTCTTTCATTGTGAGTTCTCCCAAATCTGTTTTTACATAACAGGACTAAAAATAAGTAAATATTGAAAAGGTATCCTCTTAATACACCACACTCTTTAAAATGTAATATGATGCACAATAGAAATTTTTATTACATTCTTACAAAAGGATTGGGTTTCTAGTTTTCACCATCTGGGTCAAAGGGGGTTTAAAAGGTATTTTAATTTTATTAATACAAAAATTTTTCTCCATTTGCAAAGCCAAGGAAAGTAATTCAAATTACTAATCTAATGTGAAAGCATTTTAACCAATTACATATGATTTTATAACTTTATTCCAAAAGCTTAAATTCATTGACTATTACAGTCATTGAGAACTCATATTCAGAGACCAGATTTCTGCTCAGTGACTAATAATCTTATACTTCACATTCCATTGTCAGAAACTGTTAAAGCATAACAACCTGCTTAAAAATACTGTAATTATATTTCTATGCATTTCATTCCTGAAAAGTAAACTTTTATTTTCTTTCGCAAGCCAACTTCTGGAATCAGTCAGTTTTAAAATAGATCAACTTCTAGATTAAAGCCTAAAAACTATTACTTTAAAATTAATTTTTAAAAAAGCTTTAGTCCTCACCTGATTACAAGTATCAGATAATGAGTGTATAGCTTCTGAGAACATACTTGCTGAACCGGTATAAATCCAGGCAAGAAATTTAAAGAAGCAGTTTAATCCATTGCTAGAAGAGAAAGAGAAAACAATTTAGCATAGGACTGGATAAAAACTTAAGCCAAAAGCATATTCAATCACCTGGATATACCTATATACTAGATTCTGTTGAAAGTAAAATTAGGCTGAGCACAGTGGCTCACACCTATAACCCCAAAACTTTGGGAGGCTAAGGTGGGAGGATTGCTTGAGGTGAGGAGTTCATGGCCAGGCTGGGCAACAAAGCAAGACCCCTTACAAAAAATATTTTAAAAACTTAGTCTGGTGTGGTGGCACATGCCTGTGGTCCTAGCTACTCAGGAGGCTGAAGTGTAAAGATCACCTGAGCCATGAATTCGAGGCTGAAGTGAGCTGTGATGGTGCCACTGCAGTTCAGCCTAGGCAACAGAGTTAAGATCCTGCCTCTAAAAAAAAAAAGTAAAATTAAAAGAATCACTAGCCTTAAAAAACTTTCTGTTTCAGTAACAAGAGTGCAAATTTGAAAAAATATAAATTATGTACTATTAAGAGACATGCTACGTATAAGGAAATTACTTAAGTCCATTTTGAAAACTGACAAGAGGGTATTCTGTATTTGGACAAGTTAAATTAAACAGAAAATTATGTGTTTTAGGTAGATAAAAGCAGATCTGCACCTGATATGGTCCAATGGGCCAGTGTCAAAGGCAAGACTTCAGTGGAAGTCTGTTTATTTAAGGAGGCAGATGCCAGAGGTGAGGCTAAATCTAGAATAAGCAGTCTCAGAGTCATACTAGAAGACCCTAAATGCTAAAATAAACACTGTTAACTCTGAGGAAGCTAGCAGCTCAGAAAACAACAGTAATGACTAATACGATTTAGCTCGGATGTTATGCTAGTGACGTAATACCACGTTATATTACAACTGTTATACAAATAATAATACCCCTATTTTATAAATGAGAGAACCGTACATCCCCTTCTAGCTACCCTTGAACCCTCTCCTCCACCTCAGATAACTTATTGAAAACATCACATCTATTCTTGCTGTCACAGTTTTCATCTTATCAATACCACCTACTTACTATTCCTTACTACTAAGTTTCTGGAAACATTTTAGCATTTCTCTTAACCTCAAAGGAGCATCTGACACTATTTTCTTCTTTTTTTAAACAATTTTTAATTTATTTTTAAATTATACTTTAAGTTCTGGGGTACATGTACAGAATGTGCAGGTTTGTTACACAGGTATACATGTGTCATGGTGGCTTGCTGCATCCATCAACACATCATCTACATCAGGTATTTCTCCTAAGGCTATCCTTCCCCAAGACCCCATCCCCAACAGGCCCCAGTGTGTGATGTTCCCCTCCCTGCGTGTCCATGTGTTCTCACTGTTCAACTCCCACTTATGAGTAGGAACATGCAGTTTGGTTTTCTGTTCCTGTGTTAGTTTGCTGAGAATGATGGTTACCAGCTTCATCCATGTCCCCGCAAAGGATACGAACTCATCCTTTTTATGGCTGCATAGTATTCCATGCTGTATATGTGCCACATATTCTTTATCCAGTCTATCACTGATGGGCATTTGGGTTGGTTCCAACTCTTTGCTATTGTGAATGGTGCTACAATAAACATACGTATGTATGTGTCTTTATAGTAGAATGATTTATAATCCTTTGGGTGTATACCCAGTAATGGGATTGGGGGGGGTCAAATGATATTTCTGTTTCTAGGTCCTTCAGGAATCACCACACTATTCTACAATGCTTGAACTAATTTACCCACCAAAAAGTGTAAAAGTGTTCCTATTTCACCACATCCTCTGCAGCGCCTCGTTTCCTGACTTTTTAATGATAGTCATTCTAACTGGCATGAGATGGTATCTCATTGTGGTCTTGATTTGCATTTCTCTAATGACCAGTAATGATGAGCTTTTATTCACGTTTGTTGGCCACATAAAAGTCTTCTTTTGAGAAGTGTCTGTTCAGATCCTTTGCCCAATTTTTGACAGGGTTGTTTTTTTCTTGGAGATTTGTTTAAGTTCCTTGTAGATTCTGGATATTAGCCCTTTGTCAGATGCGTAGATTACAAAAATTTCTCCCATTCTACAGGCTGCCAGTTTACTCTGATGATAGTTTCTTTTGCTGTGCAGTAGCTCTTTAATTTAATTAGATCCCATTTGTCAATTTTGGCTTTTGTTGCCATAGCTTTTGGTGGTTTAGTCATGAACCACCCATGCCTATGTCCTGAATGACAGGTTTTCTTCTAGGGTTTTTATGGTTTAACATCTTATATTTAAGTCTTTAATCCATCTTGAGTTAATTTTTGTATAAGGTGTTAAGGAGAGGGTCCAGTTTCAGTTTTCTGCATATGGCTAGCCAATTTTCCCAACACCATTTATTAAATAGGGAATCCTTTCCCCATTGCTTGTTTTTGTCAGGTTTGTCAAAGATCACATGGTTGTAGATGTGTGGCATTATTTCTGAGGCCTCTGTTCTGTTCCATTGGTCTATATATCTGTTTTGGGACTACTGCCATGCTGTTTTGGTTACTGTACCTTGTAGTTTTAAGTCAGTTAGTATGATGCCTCCAGCTTTATTCTTTTTGCTTAAGATTGTCTTGGATATAAGGGCTCTTTTTTGGTTCCATATGAAATTTAAAGCAATTTTTTCTAATTCTGTCAAGAAAGTCAATGACAGCTTGATGGGGATAGCACTGAATCTATAAATTACTTTGGGCAATATGGCCATTTTCACAATATTGATTCTTCCTATCCATGAGGATGGGATGGTTTTCCATTTGTTTGTGCCCTCTCTTATTTCCTTCAGCAGTGCTTTGTAGTTCTCCTTTAAGAGGTCCTTCACATCCCTTGTAAGTTGTATTACCAGGTATTTTACTCTCTTTGTAGCAATTGTGAATAGGAGTTCACTCATGATTTGTCTCTCTGTCTGTTATTGGTGAATGGGAATGCTTGTGATTTTTGCACATTGATTTTGTATCCTGAGACTGCTGAAGTTGCTTATCAGTTTAAGGAGATTTTTTGGATTAGGCAATGGGGTTTTCTAAATATACAATCATGTCATCTGCAAACAGAGATAATTTGACTTCCTGTCTTCCAATTTGAATACCCTTTATTACTTTCTCTTGCCTGATTGCCCTGGCCAGAACTTCCAATCATATATTGAATAGGAGTGGTGAGAGAGGTCATCCTTGTCTTGTGCTAGTTTTCAAAGGGAATACTTCCAGCTTTTGCCCATTCACTATGATATTGGCTATGGGTTTGTCATAAATAGCTCTTATTTATGAAATAAGATATGTTCCATCAATATCTAGTTTATTGAGAGTTTTTAGCATGAGGGGGTGTTGAATTTTGTCAAAGGCCTATTCTGCATCTATTGAGATAATCATGTGGATATTGCCATTGGTTCTGTTTATGTGATGGACTATGTTTACTGACTTGCATATGTTGAACCAGTCTCAAATCCCAGGGATGAAGCTGACTTGATTGTAGTAGATAAGCTTTTTAATGTGATGCTGGATTCAGTTTGCCAGTATTTTGTTGAGGATTTTGCAGTGATGTTCATCAGGGGCATTGGCCTGAAATTTTCTTTTCTGTTGTGTCTCTGCCAGGTTTTGGTATCAGGATGATGCTGGCCTCAAAAAATGAGTTAGGGAGGAGTTCCTCTTTTTCTATTGTTTGGAATAGTTTCAGAAGGAATGGTACCAGCTCCTCTTTGTACCTCTGGTAGAATTCGGCTGTGAATCCATCTGGTCCTGGGCTTTTTCTGGTTGGTAGGCTATTAATTCCTGACTCAATTTCAGAACTTATTATTGGTCTATTCAGGAATTCAACTTCTTCCTGGTTTAGTCTTGGAAGATTGTAAATGTCCAAGAATTTATCTTTTCTTCTAGATTTTCTAGTTGATTTGCATAGAGGTATTTATAGATTCTCTGATGGTAGTCTGTATTTCTGTGGGATCAGTGGTGATATCCCCTTTATCATTTTTTATTGTGTCTATTTGATTCTTCTCTCTTTTCTTCTTTATTAGTCTGGTTAGCAGTCTATCTATTTTGTTAATCTTTTCAAAAAAACCAGCTCCTGGATTCACTGATGTTTTTGAAGGGTTTCTCGTGTCTCTATCTCCTTCCGTTCTGCAGTGATCTTAGTTATTTCCTGTCTCCTGCTAGCTTTTGAATTTGTTTGCTCTTGCTTCTCCAGTTCTTTTAATTGTGATGTTACGGTGTTGATTTTAGATCTTTCCCACTTGTTCCTGTGGGCATTTAGTGCTACAAATTTCCCTCTAAACACTGCTTTAGCTGTGTTCCAGAGATTCTGGTATGCTGTGTCTTTGTTCTCACTGGTTTCAAAGAACTTATTTATTTCTGCCTTAATTTTGTTATTTACCCAGTAGTCATTCAGGAGCAGGTGGTTCAGTTTCCATGTAGTTGTGTAGTTTTGAGTGCGTTTCCTAATCCTGAGTTCTAATTTGATTGTGGAAGACAGTGAATGCAGTCTGAGAGACTGTTATGCTTTCTATTCTTTTGCATTTGCTGAGGAGTGTTTTACATACAATTATGTGGTCAATTTTAGAATTAAGTGTGATAAGGTGCTGAGAAGAATGCATATTCTGTTGATTTGGGGTGGAGAGCTCTGTAGATGTCTATTAGGTCCACTTGGTCCAGAGCTGAGTTCAAGTCCTGAATATCCTTGTTAATTTTCTGTCTCATTGATCTGTCTAATATTGACAGCAGGGTGTTAAAGTCTCGCATTATTATTGTAGGAGTCTAAATATCTTTGTAGGTCTCTAAGAGCTTGCTTTATGAACCTGGGTGCTCCTGTACTGGGTGCATATATATTTAGGATATTTAGCTCTTGTTGCATTAAAGTCTGTTTTACCAGAGACTAGGATTGCAACCCCTGCTTTTTTTAAAAAAAAGAAAAAAAACTTTCCATTTGCTTGGTAAATATTCTTTCATCCCTTTATTTTGAGTGTATGTGTGTCTTTGCACGTGAGATGGGTCTCCTAAATACAGCACACTGATGCATCTTGACTCTTTATCCATTTTTCCAGTCTATACCTTTTAATTGAGGCATTTATCCTGTTTACATTTAAGGTTAATATTATTATGTATGAATTTGATGCTGTCATTATGATGCTAGCTGTTATTTTGCCTGTTAGTTGATGCAGTTTCTTCATAGTGTCAATGGTCTTTGCAATTTGGTATGTTTTTCCAGTGACTGGTACCAGTTTTTCCTTTCCATATTTAGTGATTCCTTCAGGAGCTCTTGTAAGGCAGGCCTCGTGGTGACAAAATCTCTCAGCATGTGCGTGTCTTTAAAGGATTTTATTTCTCCTTTGCTTATGAAGCTTACTTTGGCTGGATATGAAATTCTGGGTTGAAAACTCTTTTCTTTAAGAATGTTGAATATTGGCCACCACTCTCTTCTGGCTTGCAGGGTTTCTGCAGAGAGATCCACTGTTAGTCTGATGGGCTTCCCTTTGTGGGTAACTGGACCTTTCTCTCTGGCTGCCCTTAACATTTTTTCCTTCACTTCAACGTTGGTGAATCTGATGATTGTGTCTTGGAGTTGCTCTTCTTGAAGAGTATCTTTGTGGTGCTCTCTGCATTTCCTGAATTTGAACGTTAGCCTGTTTTGCTAGGTTGGGGAAGTTTCTCCTGGATAATATCTTGAAGAGTATTTTCTAGCTTGGTTCCATTCTTCCCATCACTTTCAGGTACATCAATCAAATGTAGGTTTGGTCTTTTTGCATAGTGCCATATTTCTTGGAGGCTTTGTTCGTTCCTTTTCATTCTTTTTTCTCTAACTTGTCTTCACGCTTTATTTCATTAAGTTGATCTTCGATCTCTAATATCCTTTCTTCAGCTTGATTAATTTGGCTATTGATACTTGTGTATGCTTCATGAAGTTCTTATGCTGTGTTTTTCAGCTCCATTGCAATGGGTTAGAACATGCTCCTTTAGCTCGGAGGAGTTTGTTATTACCCACCTTCTGAAGCCTACTTCTGTCAATCTGTCAAACTCATTCTCCATTCAGTTTTGTTCCCTTGCTGGTGAGGAGTTGTGATCTTTTAGAGGAGAAGAGCTGTTCTAGATTTTGGAATTTTCAGCCTTTTTGCTCTGATTTTTCCTCATCTTCATGGATTTATCTACTTGGTTTTTGATGTTGGTGAGCTTCGGATGGGGTTTTGGTGTAGACGTTTTTGCTGTTGATGCTATTCCTTTCTGTTAGTTTTCCTTCTAACCATCACGCCCCTCTTCTGCACGTATGCTGGAGTTTGCTGGTGGTCCACTCCAGACCCTGTTTGCCTAGGTTTCACCAGCCAAGGCTGCAGAACAGCAAAGATTGCTGCCTGTTCCTTCCTCTGGAAGCTTCATCCCCGAGAGGCATATGCCAGACCCAGCCAGAACTCTCCGGTATGAGGTGTCTGTCAATCCCTGCTGGGAGGTGTCTCGCCTTCAGGAGGCATGGGGGTCAGGGACCCACTTGAGGAGGCAGTCTGTCACTTAGCAGAGCTCAAGCACTGTGTTGGAAGATCCACTGCTCTCTTCAGAGCCAGTAAGCAGGAACGTTTAAGTTTGCTGAAGCTGCGTCCACAGCCGCCCCCTTCCCCCAGGTGCTCTGTCCCAGGGAGATAAGAGTTTTATCTACAAGCCCGTGACTGGGACTGTTGCCTTTCTTTCTGTGATGCCTTGCCCAGAGAGGAGGAATCTAGAGAGGCAGTCTGGCTACAATGGCTTTGCCAAGATGTGGTGGGCTCTACCCAATTCAAACTTTCTGTGGGCTTTGTTTACACTGTTAGAGGGAAACCACCTACTCAAGCCTCAGTAATGGCAGATGCCCCTCCCCACACCAAGCTCCAGTGTCCCAGATTGACTTCAGACTGCTGTGCTGGCTGCAAGAATTTCAAGCCAGTGGATTTTAGCTTGCTGGGCTCCATGTGGATGGGATCCACTGAGCTAGACCACTTGGCTCCCTGGCTTCAGCCCTCTTTCCAGGGGAGTGAATGGTTCTGTCTTGCTGCTGTTCCAGGCACCACTGGAGTATGAAGAAAAACTACTGCACCTAGCTCAGGTGTCTTTCCAAACAGCTGCCCAGTTTTGTGCTTGAAACCCAGGGCTCTGGTGGTGTAGGCACCTGAG